TTTTTTGCAGTAGCAAGGTATGATGTAGAATGTAGAATGTTTAGGGAGGGGAGTTAACCACCGCGACCTTACAGATCTATTGTTTGTTCCCCTTCCTTGAGTTATAACGAGTTATAACTCATCATACAGTCTCAGGGCTTTAACAAAAACCAGTATCTGAGACGGCTCCACAGAGGCCAGCTCTCCATCCTCGACATCAGCCGTATATCAAAGTTCATGGCACGAACGGTCGTCGTCTCGGCGCACTCAGTGATAAGGTGTTCTGGTGTTTCCCCATCTTCCCCCCAGAATCTGCATTCGCTGTTGTTTCTCAGCTTCATCCTACTGAGGTGTTCGTTGAGGAGACAGTGTCCTGTTAGAAACCCCGTGAACAATCTGAAGATTCTCCTTACTTAAATCAAAAAAAATCTTTGATTTTTCTCGGTCCAATACATTCTAATAAGTTTTGAGGAACTTTTTAGAGTGTCTTGGACCGTTCGAGGACTCCCATTCTAGGTTACGGATGGAGTCTTCCAGATTCTTCAGTTCCGCTTGAAAAACAGAACGGTTCTGGCCCAGATAGTGGAGTGTTTGCTTCTATCCCTTAGTGAGCGGGCACCCAGAGTAGGAGAACTTTATTTTCTTTGCGTAATTTGTTCAGCTTCTCTAGGCATTCTTTGACCAACTTCGAATTGATGGTTACTGAGTTGATCGCGTTTAATGGTTAGGTTAATTTATGTTATTTCCTATTTTCGATAGTTCCTATCTAAGATAAATTATTGTACTCTTCTTTCCATAGCGTAGATTTCTGCCTGAGGGATACTGGGGTAGGTGCCCATTATTTCGGAGTATTTAGTTGGCTTAAATACTCCTATCCCTGTTCCTGCTTTGGTTTTGGAAGCATCAGTATACCACGTTATGGTATGGTCTTACATGCTGAGCAAACGTTTCTCCCTCCCCAATCCTTTTTATTACTCAATACTACAGTGAGGTGTTTCCTCAAATTTGTAATTTCTTGGTATGTCATCCACTGGGAGTTGGAGAAGTGGAATTTTCTTTTTTAGGGTGTTCCAGCCCCTGACCTGAAAATTCTCCCAGCAGATCGCGTTCATTAACTTCCCACCTCTCATATAATCTAGATCTACACCTACAGTGGCATCATAAGAATAATGTCATGCTCTTCTTTGATGTAGCTTTGCTGTTCCTAAACTTGCCAATTTCACGTAGGTACTTTACATTATTTGAATGAATTTTCTCAAATAGTATTGTCAACAAAATTGTGACTGAATATATTGAATATATTAAACATCGAAATAAAAATGTGTTCAATTCAATGACAACTTTTTTGAACAACGGGAATGAGTAATTCATCCCGTCTTACCCAATTTATCCAAGAAAAGGTTTGAAGTAATATATAAAAAATAATAAAAACCTTTACCTCCACTTCAATGGTATCTTCATATAGTCCTTATAAAATTAAATTACAGAAGTTTTATTTCAGTAGCATATTTAAAAAAAATAAGCCTCCAATCCATCATTCAGCGAGCGTATTTGACAAGCATATTTGTATAGATTCCCACGGGGGGCACACGATTATTCCCTGGAGTTTTAGCGTCAAGAACAGCTACTGGATTTTTTCAAGGAATTCTCAAAAGCATTGTGAATATATTCTATTTTGGGTTTTTAACGTGGGAAATACACAGGAGACTAGTTTTTCATCGTTTTGACATCTATATAAGACGTTTTTGAAGAACCTTATACCTCTAATAATTCAGTTATTATTATTTAAAAGTTACTTCGAAAAAGTAGTATTAGAAAAATGGTATTCTAAAGGTTTAAAGTTTAGAAAAGGAACAAGACTTAACAAGACTTTATATTTTGAAACATGGGAATGTTTTATACAAAATATAAAACTGAAAGGATTAGCAAATTATGTTTTTTATTCATAGCTGATAAGTCATGAATATAAAATTTTGGAAATAAAATTATTTCACCTAGAAATGTTTAAAAGCACTTCATTACAAACTTTTAGTACAAGCCACAAAAAAGCTACAGAATATTGTTGCAAAAAATGTGTTCTGAAAAATGCTTTAATTTAAATATATTGAATTCTATAGTTTCCAACTATACTATTTTATTAGCATTATACTATTACTATAGTTTATTACAGTATACTAGTTTATTACATTATACTAGTTTATTAATATTATACTATTTATATTAACAATGTAACAATTTCTTTGTGTATCTTAGACCGTTGGAGGATTTCTATTTCCAGGTTATGGATGGAGTCTTCCAGGTTCTTAAGTTCCGATTTAATATTCATTCCATAATGGTAAAAATGCAATGCTAGTTTAGAGGAAAAGTTATTTAAAGGACATAAACAAAGCAATGATAATTTTAATGGCAAAATCATTCCAAGAGGAAATGCTAATATGCCGCTATTATAGCAGATCAAATCTTTACAATATTGAGAGTCTAATTCTATTACAGAACTCTCGAAAATCATTACAATAGCAAATGGTCTATGCCCTCACTAAACCATCACCAGGTTTGTTTTCTAAAAAACTAAAAGACTTCTTTTATTATATTATTACAGTCCATATATTTTGTAAGAATATTTAAAACAGTTACTATACAGACCGGACCACCGTAGTAGTAACATAGGCAGAACCGGACGAATTAGCGTATACCCGTCCGCCGGATAAAAAGCAGGCAAAAAAATGCGATAAAATAAAAATAGGTAGATATGTGATAAGAATGTTTCAGAATTTGTTCGTGTTTTAATAGCCTAAACGAATACATAGATTCTCGCAACAGTTCTCGTGTAAAATTTATTTTTTAAGTAAAATAATGGATGTTTACGAAGTTCGTGAGAAAATTCAAATTGTAAAATGGTATTTCCAAAATAGGTCTTGTCGGAATATACAAACAATTTTTCCACAAACTTTCGTAAACAGGCCAATTCCATCTTTACTTACTGTATCAAGAGTTATTAATAATTTTGAAACACATGAGTGCGTGTTCCCACAAAAACACAAAAAGCCTGATGTGTTGATTAATGAAGAACAGGAGTTAAAGCAAGTGTTCGTTTGTGCTAACGCGGATCAAAATCCCATGTTTTCAAGTAATCAAATTGCTGAGGTGGTTGTCTTGCCCACAATGCCCGTATTGTTCAAGAATATTTGAACAATACTTTTCCCAACCGTTTAATTAGTGGACATGGAACTATTTTGTGGCCCGCTAATTCACCAGATCTTTCTCCCAATGACTTATTTTTATGGGGTTATGTAAAATCCAAAGTGTATGGTCATAATAGGGCTAATAATCTGGATGAGCTTCAAGTAAAAATACAAGAGGCTTTCCAAACTATTAGCTCTAATATGTTAGCCAATGTCAGACGGGGATTTGACGACCGCCTAGGCTTCAGTCTAGCACAAGAAGATGGTCTTTTTGAACACTTGTTATAACTTTTTCTTATTTAGAGTAATATTTTAGTTTTTTTGGGTTTAGAGAATTTATTTATTTTTAGTTTTGGCTTGTAAACACACTCAAACAATAAATATTTAAGTATTTTCATTTTAAATATTACCTTAAGTGAAGGTAAACACTTAAAATGAAAATAATAAATACTCGGCACTCCTCACGTGGTAGTCCTAGTCTGTCACGACCGACCCGTCCAAGCACAACTGCAACTGCGTACTACCTGACCAGCCGACTAGCCGGCAATCTCGAGTACGAACGCAAAACGGGTAAACGTAAATTCGTCCGGCAACTTCCTATGTTACTAGTAGCCTGGTCTTCTCTGTATATACACATATTAGAAGCTTTATGATAGCTGAGTTAGCTAATTCAATAAGTTTACAAGTCATCATTTCACCAAAAAATTTGTTAAAACTAAAATTTCAATAAATACACCAAAAACTCATAAATCCAAGTAAAGATTTAGCTATCTACATCTGGCTAAGCGAAGCCCAACTTATGTATAGTTCATATCAAATAAACTTTTAATCACGTGATTAAGACTGAACCGGCACAGAGTTGCCCAGTTTTACATGTTTTCTTTTACTCAAAATATTTTAGAAAACAAAAATTAATAAATTATAAATATAAACAGCTATTATTTACATCGACAAAACTCACCTTCTTAACAGCACTTAAGGGACATTAAAGTCCTTACTACCGCTTTCCCGTTCAAAATATTTTAATAAAGTTGTGATGAGTTTTTTTACGGCTATTAAGCTATCTTGTACACTTCGCACTTAAAGAGGTTCTAAAAAGAACAATGTTTGACTGCAAGGTCTACTAGTAAGCATGTTTTAGCTTAAAGTATCACAAGGCTATTTATTTAAATCAAAAACTCGCAATATAAAAGTGCCAAAACGAATGACAATGTCAGGAATTAAATAAATAAATGTGGCAACTTTACATTTTTTACAGCAGAGCTATCGCCTGAATCGCAACACGAAATTTAGATTCCAGTTAGTCAGCCCGGCGCCGAATATGTCCATGGTTGGCAACAATGAATTTAAAAATCACGCCTTCGATTACGTAACTAAAAATTTAATCGATATCAAATACATATACCAACTTGCATCCGTATAATATATTGTTTTAAGTAGATTTCAAAGTTATAAATCAGGCATACCCACTTAAGAGTTCTTTCAATTTAAAAAAAAAAAATATCTATAACTTCTTATCCATTTACACCGCTCCAAACACTTCTTAACCATTCCCATGATGCCTGCCCAACAGAACAAAAAAAAGAACAGCCCATAAAAATTCACATAACGTTCTTTCCTGAGTAGACTAGCCGTCTCCAGGGGTGGTCTGCCTACCTACGAGACCGTAGAGGTTACGGTAGATTTACGAAAGGCACGAGCTCCTCCCATCCGGGGCCTTTCCACCAATAGAAACCGGCGTTGAGCGTGAACAAAAGAAAGTCGGTGGTCGTGGAACCGCCCATTTACGGCACCTACGGCTGGTACGGTCATCAACGACTCCGTTCTGGTCAGTCCGGACGAAGAGGTACCGACTGACAGCTCCGTGTTCGATTTTTGGTCGTTTTTTTTCTCTCCGTTTGGGTGATTTTTTGGTTAAGTCGGTGTTTGGCGGTACTGTTTGGTGATTTTCGCGTAAACGAACTGAGATTAGAGGACTTTGGTTTGTGTGGAGTGTAGATGGCAGTTTCGACGCTGAACATGTCTCCGTATTTCACTGGATATCCTTTTCAAGGTAAATATATTTGTGAAAACAATGTCTTCCAGATTTTTGAAACTTGTTATCAAAAGTGTTCTTTATGATAAGTTTCAACAAAAAGGAAATTTTGTTTGATTGCTCGAAATACGTACTAAATATTTCTAATTTGAACAGCATTAGTTCACAAAAGCCGGTGCCTACATTTTGTAGAAAACGCATCTCTAAAAATCTGTCAATAGCTATCATAAATGAGGATTTTGGTAGATTCTGGATTATAAAAGGATTACTATTTTATTGAAAACTTTACACCATTATTTAATACACAATAAAAGGGGCGATTTTTCTTTTTTACTAGAAAAGGGGCAACTAAATCAAAAAAATAAAGTAAAAAATACCATTTTAATTTTTTTTCTCTGACGTTTATATTAATATCAAAGTATAAAATACTTCCAAGAGTACATTATATGTGTAAATTCAGATTATGCAATGTTCAGTGATGATAAGTTAAATCAACAAGGTAATATAGGTTTGGTGCATTTCAGTTCGACCGCAGCGCTGTATACAACAGAAATCAGAAGTTTTCACTTTGTATTCCATGCCGTCCCGGTTACAGTTTATGTTGATCGCATTAAAATAATACTGAAATCGTAGCTTTGTCATAATATCTAGTTATATCTTAGTTTTTTTCTGGTGCAGTTATTGAAACTACGAAACACTCAGGTACGAGATTTGTGTGATGTAACGCTGATTCGGATAGTAAAAATTAGGTAAAAAAGAACTCGAACTGGGCGTCGCGTTGTATTCTGACAAATTCAAATGTTAATAAAATTGCCGAAAAGATGTTAACGCTTAAAGGAGATGGATAAGATGGGCTTTATTTTACCAAACCAATAAAAAATCTATTGCAAATTTCCCATAAAGCTTAATTTTCTGTGATCATACAGCGCAGATTGATTATAAACTGTTTATTTACGACACTACTACAGCAATATTTTCATTATACCCCCTTTTAAGTAGTGACAAAAATCGAGATGAAAGTAAAGAACATAAGAAAAAATGATAAAAATTGGCGACGTGTAATTTATCATAACTGACGTCAAATAGCATTAAATAAAATACCATATCATCGAAAAAGCGTTTAGTTGGCTGAGAAATGACGATCGATGACATTTCCCATATAAATTTACATATAAAATGACAACGATCTTCATTTCATACCCATCGCTCTCGCTGTTATTTTTCGATCGCGTATGATTACATGTATCATACTTATTAATAAATATTGCTAAACTTAGTAATAAACTATTTTTTAAGAAGTGAAACCATATAAAAAACTTCATTCGATAAGATAGTTACCCAAAAAAGAGACAAACTAATAACTCTTTAATTGTTTAATAATTTTGTATTTTATTTTTTCCCGTAAGTATCAAATAATATAACTATGTAATATAACTAATTTTAACGCTTAGTATTTCATTTTAATAACTGAAAAAAGTTAGATTACTACCAAATCTAGAACGCAACATTAATTTTTATTATATATTTTAACAGTGTTTGGTTTAAAATAATAGAATTCCTGAAAAAATCCACTGTGTAAAGCCAATATAAGAATAAACTTATTCAATATAAAATACGCGATATTTAATTAAAAAAAAACTTTTAACGTGATTGCAAGATTCTACCTTATTAAATAAAAACTTAGAGAATGCAAAAGACATCAACAGTCACACAAGCCACGAACCCATTAAGAAGAATTTTTTAATTGTATAGTTTTACTACTATTCAATATAGTGGAACCAGACACTTATTAGGGCAATCAAAGGTGTAATTTTGTTGGTTTTGAAACTGAAGTTGGTATTAGTAAAATAGAGCTGTACTAGGCAATTATACTCAAGGTGGTTTGCCATTGCCATTGAGGTGACGGTCCGTTTTGGTTGCTCTTGGATAAATAATTACCTTTGAATAAAGAGTACCATGCAGTCCATGTATTCCTGCATTAGAAGCGGAATCGACATCATAAACACCCATTTTGACAGTTTTGACGTTTCAGTTGACACATTTGAATATAATTTAGAATTTTGTGGATTTGTTATGCCTCTTTAGACTTATTTTATGTTATTTGTTATTTATTGCATAATTGGTTTTGTTCAGATGTAGTAAATCTAAAAAGATATTGTGTTAGAAATTGTGGCATAAACTGTATATATTTTTTTTTCTTGCATTTTCGCTTTTATTTACAAAACTAATTATTGTCAAAACTAATTAGGATGCGTCAACTTATGAATTTTTATTAGAAATATATTTTGTAACAATTTTTATAACTAATAACATTTATTGGCAGCGTAAAACAAAATTAACAAATTATTGATTATATTATTTTTTTACACGGATTTAATAAACTTGAAAAACAGACTCACACTTGTCACCTTTGAATAAGAAGACTAAGGAAGGAGCATAATGCTATCCATGTATTCATACATGATGGGCGGAAAAAGGTCTGAAAAAGGATGACTGATTTGTCAGTCTTTACGGAGCTTAATTTATGTTATTTATTATTTATTCTACTACTGATAGTTGTGTAAAGGTAGTAAATCTAGATGGAAATTGTGGCAGAACTTAAATTAACAGTGACACTATCGCGATTTATCGAAAAAGACTCTAAAATAGTTGGTTGTGGAGCGTGCGGTAGATCTCGGCAAAAATCGAGTGAAATAATGGAACAACTTTTCGCTAGTAAGTGACTATATAATATACATACGTGTAGTAAACCGATCATTTATGAAATTCACTCAAATTAACTAATTATATGTTTATTCTTGCATTTTTGCTTTTATTTACTACTTGTCAAAGATTAGATGTCAAAGAATTTAGATACGTCAATTTGACTTACCTGTTTCAGTAGCGTATCGGATGTTTATGGTTATTAATAATTATTATAACTTATCTATGTTTATTAGAATTTTATATTTTTATAACAATTTTAATAACTACCAACATTTATTCACAACGTAAAATAAACTAACAAATTATTGAGTCTACCCCACGTCTACCCTACATCATAGTTTTACATTTTTTAAATAAAATTAGAACGGCACTGATAAACCGGAATTTAAGTCGGCCATATTTGAGGCTCATCTTAGTCTTCTTATTCAAAGCTTGTCACAGTGCTACAGCAACAAATAATTTATTAAAAATTTCTTTATAATTTACAAAGAGAAATAAATCTGATTCTCAATCTAAAATGACACAGTTTCTCTCTGTCCAGCGCCGTTGCCCGCGACAGTACACTTTAAAACCTCTTCGTGTAGGTAAATTTCGATTACCCCCAAGTGTACGCCGACTGTATAATTTACATAATTGTACCGCGAGCTCTGGAACAATGTGTCTCTTGTACGGATTCCTGCGCGGAGATAAACGCTTTAAAGTTACGTGTCGACATCGGTGTCGGAATTTTAATAATAAACCTAGACGCGCGCCGTTTTTAAGATTGCCCGTCATGCTCGGCGCATTGTTCAGGAAAGCGGATAGGCTAATTTAATTTAGTCCTTGCATTGGGAGAGAAAGAGCACGAAATAATGTTAACACAAAATTCGGAGATTTGAGGAAGTTTTAAGAATTCTTCTCTTCGGCATGTGGACTTATATCTTTTAATAAAACGGAACTAAAGTGTTTTTTTTTCATAGGTTAAAATTGCCTTATATCTATCAAAAATATTAGATAAAATAGTACTTTAACCGCAAGGGTATATTAAATGTTACTTTAACAACGAGGATACCAAACCAAAAACCCTATTTCTTCTGGCACGTTTTTTAATTGCTTCCATTTTTGGAAAATTCTGTATTCCTTTTCATATTCTATTCGGGACTTAAATGGAAGTAGTTTGGATATGGCGTTTGTCGCCTCAGCCTGAATATCTGTTGGTAATTTACTTATTTCGTTTTGATCCATTTCTGGCTCCAATTCAATCAGCAATCGACACGAAAAAGAATTAAAAAATATTGACTCAACTCAAAACTGACAACGCCAACCCAAAACAATATTTTTTTCTACTCGTAATAAATTCCTTGAAATAATAATTTCTGAATATTTTTTAAAACGTAACTCGCTATGGAAAAAAATATTGTTTTATACCCGACTATAAAATTGCATTATCGTCTCCCGAAATTAATTCACTCGCGATTTCATCGCTCGTGAATTAATCTTTTCGATCGACCTAATCAAAACTGAAATTTTGGCAAAGATCGAACAGGCCAGACGTACTTTTGCTTCCATAAAAACTCTTCTCCAGCCGAGATCTAAGCTTCGAACTGCGCATACGTATGCTGCGTTGCTACATCTTTCCAGTATTTCTATACGGTTCTGCGAGGTGGACACTCAATCAAACATTGAAAAACCGCATTCATGCTTTTGAGATGTACTTGTAACGTCGTATGCTGCGTATATCCTGGATGGATAGAGTGACAAATGAGGAGGTACTCAGGCGGATGAACAAAGATAAAGAGCTCCTATCAACAGTGAAGGAAAGGAAGTTACACGGTCACATCATGAGGGGTAATAGATACGAGGTCATCGAATGCAAAATTGAGGGTAGGAAATCAGTGGGAAGAAGGCAAAACTCCTGGCTTAAGGATCTGCGTCGTTGGTTCTGAGGAACTGGACTAGAACCGTTCTGTTTGCCATGTGGAAACCACCTTAAAGTGAAACTCAAGAAAGTTGAATGCTCCATCCGTAACCTGGAATGAAAATTCTCCAACGGTCTAAGACACTCTAAGAAAGATTTCTCAGAACTTACGATCGAAAAAAATTGAAGATTATCCTTGATTCAAGAAAGAACAATCTTCGGATTGTCACGGAATTTTTTTTCACACTGTCTCTTCAGTGAACACCCCAGTAGTTTGAAGCTAAGAAACAACGGCTAATGCATATTCTGTGAGGAAAATGGGGAAACACCAAAATACCTCACCACTGAATGCACTGAGTCGACAACCATTCGTGTCAGAAGCTTTGGTACGACTAATATCGGAGATGGAGAAATA